GGAGACTTCAAACACCACAGTCTCAATAATGAATAGAACCACCAAACAGAAGTTAAGGAAACAGATGACCTAACACAGTAAATCAACCAGATCTAACAGAAGTATAGAGCACCCCACCCAACAACGTACACATTCTTCTAAAATGCACATAAAACATTTCCCAAGATAGACCACCTGCTAGGCCACAGATTAACTCTCAACAGAGTTTAAAAGATAGGTATCACATAAAGGGTCCTCTTTAATCACAACGGGAGGAAGTTAGAAGCCAGTAACAGAAGTAAAACTGGAAAATCCCCAAATTTGTGGAAATTAAACAATACATTCTTCAACAACCAATGGATCAAAGTAGACATCACAAGTGAAATTAGAAAATACTTAGAGATAAATGAAAATGAAAATACAATGTACCAAAACTCATGGGATGCAGCGAAAGAAGTGCTAAGGGGGAAACTTACAGCGATAAGGGCTCACATTACAAAACGAGAGAGATCTCAGACCAACAACCCAACTTTACAACTTAAGAAACTAGAAAAAGAAGAACTAAACTCGGAGCTGGCAGAAGGAGGGAAACAACAAAGATCAGAGTAGAATTAATCAAAACAGAAAAGCAACAGAAAAATGAATAAAACCAGAAGTTGGTTCTTTGAAAAGATCAACAAAGAAAACAAACATTTAGCTAGATGGACTAAGAGAAAAACACAGAGTACTCAAATACTAAAATCAAAAATGATACTGGGGACATCACTACTGATTTTACAAAAATAAAAAAGACTGTAAGAGAGAACTGTGGACAGCTGTACACCAGCAGTCTGGACAACCTAGGTGAAACACACACGTGCCCGGAAACAGCGAGCCTACCAAGACCAGGTCACGGAGACGTGGAGGGTATAAACAGACCTGTAGCCACTCAGGGAGTTGAGTCAGCAATCAAAAATCTCCCAGCAAAGTCCCTAGACATTATGGCTTCACTGAAGAAGTCCACCAAACATTTAAAAAACCAGTAACAGTCCTTCTCAAACTTTTCCAAAAAACTGAAGAGGCAGGAACACTTCCTAACTTGTTTTATGAGTTCAGGATTACCTTGATACCAAAACCAGGTAAAGACACTACAAGAAGCGAAAACTACAGACCAACATTCCTTATGAGTATTGATGCAAAAAGTCATCCACAAAATACTAGAAATACTAGCAAACCAGATTCAGCAGTGTATTAAAAGGAGTATACACCAAGAACAGGTGGGATTTATTCCTGGGATGCAAGTATACTTCAACATATGAAACTCAATCAATATAATATACCACATTAGCAGAACGAAGGGAAAAAACTACACAATCATCTCGATGCAGAAAAAGCATTTGACAAAATTCAAAATCTTTTCCTGATAAAAACACTCAACAAACTAGGAATAGAAGGCAACTAAGTCAACATAATAAAAGCCATATGTGAAAACCCACAGCAAACATCATACTCAATGATGAAACGCAGAAAGCTTTTCCTCTATTATCAGGAATAGGATAAGCATGTCCACTTTCAGCACTCAGCATAATAATGGAAGCACAAGCCAAAGCAATCAGGCAAGAAAAAAGCGGCATTCAAACTGGAAAAGCAGAAGTAAAACTATCAATGTTTGAAGATAATATAATCTTACATGTAGAAAATCCTAACAATTTCACCAAAAAAAACCCTACCACAGCTAATAAACGAATTCAGTGAAGTAGCAGTAGACAAAGTCAACACAGAAAAGTCAGTTGCAGTTCTACACACTGACAACGAACAATCTGAAAAGGAAATTACAAAAACTATTCTACTTACAATTACATCGAAAAGAATAAAATACCTAGGAAATAACCAAAGAGGTGAAAAGTACAATGAAAACTACAAAAAAAATTGCTAAAAGAAATTAAAGACTTAAATAAATGGAAACACAGGCCACATTTCTGAATCAGAAGATTTAACATTGTTAAGCTGTCAATTGTACCCAAAGCAATCTGCAGTTTCAATGTAATCCCTATCAAAATCCCAATGCCATTTTTTTGCAGAAATAAAAAAGCCCATCCTAAAATTCACATGGAACCTCAAGGAGTCCCCAAAGAGCCAAAACAGGTTCTAAAAGGTGAAAAAAGCTGGAGGACTCACACTTCTTGTTCTCAAAACTTACTACAAAGCTACAGTAATCAGAGCAGTGTGGCACTGGCATAAAGACAGACATACAGACAGTGGGATAGAACAGCAATCCCCAAAACAAATGCTCAAATGACTTTTGACAAGGGTGCCAAGACTGTTCAATGGGAAAAGGATGATCTTTTCAACAAACGGTGCTGGGAAAACTGGACATCCACAAGCAAAAGAATGAAGTTGGGCCCCTACCTAAAACCATATGCAAAAATTAACTTGCTCAAAATGATCAAGGGCTTAAGTGTAAAGACCGAAAAATATAAGACCTTTAGAAGAAAACAGGACAAAATCTTTGTGACATTGGATTTCGCAATGATTTCTTAGACACGACACCAAAGAACAAGGCAACAAAAGAAAAAAATAGACAAACTGGACTATAGAAAAGGTTTTTAAATTTATGTAATGAAAGACAACATCAACAGAGTAAAAAGGCAACTCACAAAATGAAAGTGTTTGCAAATCATATATCTGATAGGGGGTTAGTACCCAGAATGTACAGAGAACGCCTAAAAGCCAACAACAGAACAACCTGATTCCAAAATGGGCAAAGGATTTGAACAGAAATCTCTCTAAAGAAGACGTACAGATGGCCAACATGCACAAGAAATGATGCTCAACGTCACTGACCACTAGGAAACGCAAATCAAAACTGCAGTGAGATACCACCGAGCCCCCCAAGATAAGGACTATCAAAACACACAGAAAATAAAAAGCGTTGGCAAAGACACAGAGAAACTGGAACCACTGTGCACTGCTGGGAACGTAAAATGGCACAGCCACTACGGAAAACAGATGGAAGGCCCTCCAAAAATTCAAATTAGAATTACTGAGCCAGCAGCTCCACTTCTGGGTACGTACCCAAAAGAATTAAAAGCAGGATCTCAAAGAGACATTTGTACACCCGTGCTTACAGCAGCGTTGTTTACAATAGCTAAAACATGGACGCAACCCAAGCCCGTCAACTGATGAACAGATAAACAAACTGCAGTATGCACGCACAGTGGACTACTATTCAGCTTTGAAAGGGAGGAGACGTTGGTACACAAGTGCCCAGCACATCTGCAGCACAGGTGAAACGTGAGGACATGATAATCAGTGAAATAAGCCAACACACACTGTATTCAGGAATACGTGGAACATTCACCAAACAGGTTAGTGCTGGGCCAGAAGTGAGTGCAGCAAAATTCACGTTTATTCTTTATCCATAGTGGGTGTGTATACACACACACCGAAACCCCCCTTGATCCTTATCTCTTACTTTACACAAAAATTAATATAACATTAGTTACTCATGGAAAGCTAGAAGTGAAAGGCAACAGTACAGTGTGCGGGAGAGATCACAGGGGAACACCCTCACGACCTTGAATAGAAAAAGGTTCCTTAACCAGGACCCTGAAGGCCCTGCCACAACAGGAAAAACTGCACACGGGACCTCATCAAAAAATACCACTCAGAGATGACAGACAAGGCACGCACTGGGAGAAGGCATCCTGAACGCACAGCTCCCACAAAGGACTTGGTGACAAATACTAGAGAACGCTTAGAAGTCAGTCTTAAAGAGACAAACCACCTTTCTTTAATGAGCAAAAGATGTGAACAATCAGTTCCCAGAGAAGATGTCCGCGTGACCGTAAGCATCAGAAACTGCTCAGCGCCGTCGTCAGACGAGCACAAACCAGCCCGCGGAGATGACCAGCAAGAGGAAACCGGAGCGCCGTGGGCGAATCTGCGGGGCCGCGCGGGAAACCGTTCCAAACGGGGCGGCAGCGCCACTGCGCCCCGCGTCGGGCCGGCCGGCGCTCTGCGGTCGCT